GGGCGCCGGCGTGGCCGAGGCCGTGGTGGTCGTGTGCCCAATGGAGACCATCAAGGTGGGCAGGTCCCACAGGACGGGGCCAGGTGTGCAGGGGATCTGTCTGGGGAGCCAGGCCCAGGAGGCCCGCAGGAACAGCCTCCTGGAGGCTGTGGGAAAACAAGGTTTCCCTTACCTTAGAAACTTATAAACACAAAACATAAGGTGACACGTGTCTGCTGCCTAAGTTGTGAGAGACACCAGCGAATAGAACGCCAGAGGCTGCAGGTCTGCGGCCCGCTTTGTCCCGAGGCCACATGTCCCCGGGGCCAAGTGTGCCCTGACAGTGACGCCCTGGAAGCCAGCGCCTTGCCTTCCCTCTTTCTCAGGTGAAGTTCATCCATGACCAGACCTCCGCCAACCCCAAATACAGAGGCTTCTTTCACGGGGTCAGGGAAATCGTGCGGGAGCAAGGTGAGCCAGTCCGCCCGTCCTGGGAGAGTGGGAGCTCAGGGACCCAAGCCAGGCTGGAAAGGCCCCCACTTCCCCTTCCTGCCCTGGCTGTCCTGCGGGCTGCGTCCTGGTTCCCAGCTGGGGCCTGTGTGACCTCCGTACCTGCCTGCCCGCCCCAGGGCTGAAGGGCACGTACCAGGGCCTTACGGCCACCGTGCTGAAGCAAGGGTCCAACCAGGCCATCCGCTTCTTCGTCATGACCTCCCTGCGCAACTGGTACCGAGGTGAGTCTGCGCCCCAAGACCCCACCTCCAACCCACGAACCCTCTCCCTACCCTCCCGTCCTGTCTGACCGCCACCCCCACCCCCATCCAGGGGACAACCCCAACAAGCCCATGAATCCGCTGATCACCGGTGTGTTTGGAGCCATCGCGGGCGCAGCCAGTGTCTTCGGGAACACGCCTCTGGACGTGATCAAGACCCGGATGCAGGTGGGGGAGGGGCCACAGAAGGGGGCGGGGCCTGGGCCGGGCCGGCCGCTGAGTCCTAAGGCTGCCTGTGTCCTGCAGGGCCTGGAGGCGCACAAGTACCGAAATACGTGGGACTGCGGCCTGCAGATCCTGAGGAACGAAGGGCTTAAGGCGTGAGTAGGGGAAGCGCAGGGCTGCTGTCCCTACTCCAGGCCCTCCCTGCCTTCTCTCTGGGCCCCCCACCTCCTGTCCTCTGACCCAGGCCGTTCCCAGTGAGTCCTGCCATCGGCCTCTGTTCCTGCTCCGCCCACCTCTGGACCCACCCCTACTTTTCAGAGACTCCATCTTCATCTGCCTCTTCGCCCCTCTGTCCCCGCCCCCAGATTCTACAAGGGCACTGTCCCCCGCCTGGGCCGGGTCTGCCTGGATGTGGCCATCGTGTTCGTCATTTATGATGAGGTGGTGAAGCTGCTCAACAAGGTGTGGAAGACAGACTGAGCCCCGGAGTCGAGGGGCTGCCCCAGCCACTCCAGACTGGCTCCCACCACCCCTTCTCACAATTCCAGTGCTGTTGTGCCAAAAGGCCCCTCCCCCATCCCTCTCACTCCATGGCCTGGGTCTGCCCCTGTGGCCGTGAGTTCACGTGTCCCGTAGTGCCGTGAGTCCCCTGTAGTCTGTATGATGCCACATTGTGTCCATGTGTCCAGCTGAGGCTGGGTGTCCCTCTGGCCTGTGAATCTGTGCCCACTTGTCCACGTGCTTACTCATGTGTGCCTGTGTTTCATGTTTTAAGTCCTGTGACCCTGTGCCCGCTTCCCGGGGTGCCCGTGTGGCCTGGTCCACGGCCCTGTAGCCATGGCCGGGTCCCAGCCCGGTGCCTTCCACCCTGGGCAGCAGGGGCACCCGCCCCGGCCTACCACAGCTGCCTCCGGGCCTCAACCTGGCCTCACTGCATTCCAGGGGCTGCGTGCCCCCCGCTTCTCCTGCCACTGGCCTTAACTGGCCCTCGGGCCCTCCCTCCGCCCGGGACAGGGTGGCACCTGCCACTCTCAGGACCACCCTTCCAAGGCAGAATAAACCGGATCCTGTTGAGCTTCCTGTCCCCGTGTGGGCCCATCTGTGGGTGCGCAGGGATGGCCATGCCTCTAAGGACATGCCCACCACTCACCCGAGGACATTGCCAAGGGACAGGCAGGCTGGTGGGCAGCCTGCTGTGGCCATGGCATCAGTCCCCAGGAGTCCTGGCACCAGGCCAAGGAATGTCTGAGCTCCGAGCAGGCCTTGCCTGTGGCCAAGATCCTGCAGGGTCAGCTAGAGGGCGTGTCCTTGTGATCACTGGACAGGCAGTACTGAATGGGCAGAGCAGAGAGCTGCCCCACGCCAGTGGCTGGGCCTCGGGGGACAGTGCTCTCCGGCTCTTGTCTGCTTGTTGTCCAGCCCATCCCTCCCTTGTGGTTTCTCTGAGATTGGCTGCTTGTGGGCAGGTGTTTGGGTGGCCAGTTTCTGGTCCCCTGAGGCCCTTTCTCACTCCATCACCCAGGCTGGGAAATAGTGCCCTTAGGGCAGGAAGGGGTGGAACTGCCAGGGCTTGCGAGGACTCACCCCACAGCTCCGAACCTCAGGAAGGTGTCCGTCTTCCTGGAGCTCTCCTCCCCCAGGAGCCAGGCACAGGTGCGAGCCATGCCCAGCATGGAGGTTGAAGAGCCCTAAATGAGTGTTCTTGTGGCCCAGATCTCCTGGCTGGGGACAAGGATCCATGAGCCATGTGGAGGGGTGTGAGAACAGGACGGGAGGAAGCAGTGCCCTGGGTTGTGTGGCAGCAGAGGGATCTTGTCCAAGTGACTCCAAGGGTAAAGCCATACAAAGGATTTGGCTCAGACTGGGAAGTAGCCTGCCAGCAGGAGCCTCCCAGCAGGCAGAGCCTGTACCTGGAGCTGTTCCTTTTGTCAGTGGGGAGTGCTCCACCCCAGGACTTCACATGGCACCTGGATCCCTGGCCCAGATCTAGGGGCAAAGCTTGGACTAGGGAGGTGCACAGGAACATTGTTTTGAAGGACTGGGCCGTGTGCCCTCAGTGCTCCCAGGAGATGGAGAAGGGGCCCAGCAGCAAAGCTTGCCTGCTCCTGAGCCAAGACAAGCCACCCAACCTGTTTCCCAACCTGTGAAATGGGGAGACACAAGAACCCACCCCAGTGGGTTATGACGATGGAGTGATGTGACGTCTGTAAGGTGCACAGAGTGAGCCTCACAGGAGACTTCTGGCAGTCCCCCCGGGTTCTGGGTCGTTCCTAGAGCAGGCAAAGCCCAGAAGCTGGATCCTGAGGGGGTTCAATGCCCTGGAATACTGTCCTCCAGGAATGGCATCTGCTCACAGACTGCACACCGGCACCCGGAGTCCTGTCCCTGTACACCTTCGCGAGGAGGAAGGGGCCAAGGCTGCACTGAGCTGAGAAGAGGGGATGGGGACTTGGACCAGGAGGGGCAGGGTCCCTCTCCTGTGCCACACGGCAGCACATGGACAGCAGGTCGCTCACCCAGAGACGTTGATGGAGCTGGGTTGGAGTTCCCTGGGGCTGTGAGCACAGAGGAGCCACGTGCCGTGTTGGGCCACCCCACCCCCACCCATTAGTACACATTAGCCTGAGTACTTTGGCAGCCTCAGTTCTTGGAGCTGAGACCTGAGGGAAGGGGGCTAGAGGGGTGAGTTCCCCCAAGTGCAAGAATGAGCTTGCAGTGACTGAGCTGCAGGAAGGCCAGCCACACTGAAGGGAAGTGAACAGGTAAAGAGTGGCTGGAGAGGCAGGCAGGGGCCTGGAGGGAGCCCTGCTGTATTTAACCAAGCTTTGGAAGGCTGCAGGGGGGGGGCCTTGCAGCAACGGGGGCAAAGGGGCAAAATGGTATGTGGGCAGATCTTCGAGCAGTCAGGAAGCAAAACAAACTAACTTCAAGTCTGGTCCCCCTACCACCCCCACCAACCTAGACACATAAGCCAGTGTCAGGGAGACCCCCAGAAGGCGACTGTGTCTGCATATCAGGAGAGATGAGTGACTGTGGAGATGCCAGCAGCATATCCTGCCCACAACCAGAACCTCTGTGCCCAGTTGGAAGCCACAGCCAACCAGCCTCAGGCAGCCTTCCCCGTCTGGCATGGGCTTGAGCCTGAGATCATCTCAAAATGTGCCCAGGACAACAGCCTCAGAGAGGGCATAGAAGCAGAGGGCGAAGTAGTGGCCGCTCCTGGTCTGAACTGCCATGGGGCTGAGAATGGGTGTCCCACCCCCTCTAGGCAGAGGCCCTCAGGCATTTGCCCTCCAGGGCCCCCCTGCCCCCACTTCCTTGAACACTCCCTTCAATTAGTGACAGGCATCCCCTAGGTTTTTCCACGTCCTTGTGTAGGTGCTGAATGACAATCAGAGCTTAGTATACACACAAAAGTCACTCCCAACCAGTGGGTCTGTCTCCTTTTAGGCAACAAAAAGAATTGTTTTTCAAGCTGTGCTCAGCCTTCACAGCAAACAAACGGAGCTGGGGATGCCAGAGGATTTTTCTCGCTGACACTATACTTCCTGCGCGTTCTCGGATTCCCTGCACTGAATCTTCTGTCAGAAGTACAGAATCAGGTTCCTGTCTCCTCAAGGTCTGAGAACAGGGACTGGACACACCAGGGCCAAGGAGAGATGCAGGCACAGTGGAGAACTGGCCGAAGAGGACAACGGAGGACCACAGAGAACACCTGGAGTGATGGACAAACGCGGCCTAGGCCAACCAAGTGGGTGGGCCCCGGAAAACATGGCGGCCGTGCTGTGGCCTCGTAGCTCCCCTCCTCTCACGCCCACCTGGCAGAGAACCCTGAAAGCAGCCTCCCTCTGCTGAGAGTGGGCCTGCCCCCGACCCCTGACCCTCAGCTGTTACCACTTTTGCCTCCTCTGCCTGGCCGGCCACACGCACCCCCCACTTATTCCTCCATCGGCCACAGGACTGTCGTCTCCTGAAGGGACCTCCAGGGACGGGCCCTCCCAGCCTCTCTGCTCAGCAGCCTGTAGTGGCCTGCCGCCCAATCCTCGGCTGAAAAGCGGCCTCGGCAGTTCTCGCGCGCCGAGCGGGCTGAGGCCGCGGAAGCTCTCGGGCCTGCCGGCCTGTCCGCCCCTGGAAGCTCTCCAAGCTGACCGCACCCCGGAGTCCCGGCCTACAGCCCGCTGTCCTCGCGGCCTCGGCTGCGATGGAAAAGGCAAAAGCCGCCGCGCCGTGACCAGGCCAGGCCGCGGAGAGAGGCTGCTCCCGCGGGCCGCCGGCTAAAGGCCGCAGACTGTCAGGGACGCTCGGAGGTCCGGAGGCACTCAGAGGCTTCCCGGGCCCGCTCGTGAGGGAGGTTCAGGCGACGGCAGGAAGCTCTGGGCCCGACAGCACTCGA